GATATGAATACAGAAATCCCTCCTTGTTTACAGGATTCATGAGAATTACATGTTTTTTTTTTTTTTTCCATCTTTTTACCTTCAGTTTGAGGATGCCTTTGCCTACAAGGTGAGTCTCTTGGAGGAAGCATATTCTTGGATCTTGTTTTTTAATCCAATCCACCAGTCTGTGTCTTTCAATTGATGAGTTTAGGCCATTTACATTCAATGTTATTATTGAAATACAATTTTTATTCCTTGTCATTTTGATTTATTTCTAGTTTTTAATTTGAATTATTTTCTCCTTTGATTGATTTTTCTTCTAGTGTAGTTCCTCCCTTTGATGGTTTTCATTTTTATTTTTCATTTCTTCTTGAGTATGTTTTGTAGAGCAAGCTTTCTCACTGTGAATTCTTTCAACTTTCGTTTTTTTTGTGTGGAAAGTTTTTATTTCATTGTCAATTCTGAAGCTTAATGTTTCTGGGTATAGTATTCGTGACTGGCATCCATTTTCTTTCAGAACTTGATGTATATTAATCCAAGACTTTCTAGCTTTGATTGGGTTGAGAAATCAGCTGAGATCCTGATTGGTTTCCCTCTTGTTTGTCTCTCAAAGCCTTTAAAATCCTATCCTTATTTTGTATGTTTGTAGGCATTTTCATAATAATGTGCCTTGGTGTGGGTCTGTTGTAATTTTGTACATTTGGTGTCCTGTAAGCCTCCTGTACCTGATTCCATTTTATTCTTCAGATTTTAGAAAAAAATGTATGTTGTTTAATTTTGGAGTATTTGTAATTTTAAGAATATTATTTATGTCAATTTTTATTTAATACCATGTGGCCAAAAAACATGTTCTGTTTAATTTTAATCCTTTTACATTTATTGAGGTATTTTATGTACTAGCATGTGATATATTATGATGAATATTCTATGTGAACTAGAGAAGAATGTTTTCTTTGCTTTACTTTCTGCAGTGGTCTATAAATGTCAAGTAGGTGAAGTTCATTAATAGTGTTATTAAAATATCTTTATCTGTCTGTATTATCTATCACTGAGAAAGAGGTGTTAAAGTCTTGCACTGTGGTTCTAGATTTGCCTATGGTTTGCTTAGTTTGTGTATCCAAGTGCTTTGTATTTAGTATGTACAATATCAATTTCCTTTTTATTACTGTAAGCTAAACTTATTCATTTATTCATTATGGAAATATTCTGCATAAAGACTACTTTGTCTGATATTAATATAGCCTGGTCAACTTTCCTTAAAGTCTATGTGATACATCTCTTTTCATTCCTTTACTTTTAATCTATTTGTGTCTTTTAATTTGAAGTGTATGAATTGTAAACAGCATATAGTATTTTGCTTTTTATGCAGTGTTATAATTTCTGCCTTTTAATTGGGTGTTTGGTTCATTTACATTTAATATAATGATTAATATGTTTGGATTTAAGCCTACTATGTTGAAGTTTGACTTTCATTTGTATCTTCTGCTCTTTGTTTCTTTGTTCTTATGTTTCTGCTTCTTTTGTGAATATATTAATACTCTGAAACTGTCTCCTCTAGTGAAATTTTAATTATGTCTATATTTTCACATTGTGTTAGAATTAAAATGCACATTTTTAGCATTTTTACATTATGAATCTTCAACTTATTAAGTGAATATTCAAAAATATTATTCATGAATAATTTGGAAAATTTATGACTATATATTTCAATTATTATCCTCCCACATTTTGTGTTCTTAGTATCATATATTTTAATCCTATGCATACTATTAAATACATATACTTTTGTTATTTTAGCTTAAACAGTCAAGTTTTTAACTTTACCCGATTAGCTACACATTTGGAATTAAAATATAACATATAAAACATTTAGAGGGAAAATTTAGGGATGATTTTTTTTTTTCATAGATAAAGATGCTGATATCTAGGACATTCATACATTTGCCTGATGTCACATGGTTAATTAGAGGGATGCTCAGGAAGGGAGTAAAGATGATCAGCTGTTATCCATCACATCTGCACTTGTGAATTTTAATGGAGTTTCCCTTCAAATTGCTCTTCCCCCTCCTATGTACAACCATTCCTTTTAGTTTATAGAAGAATAAACCTATAAATAGTGTAACAACATTTCTGACTTAGAAGTTGAAAAGGGTGCACTTGTCATGAGAGTTCAGATATATTTAGCTATGTCAGGGCAGATTATACTGCTTCAGAGGAGCCTACATCTTTGCTGTTCCCTCTGACTGAACTGTTCCCCCAGCCTAATTCCCCTAGGTAATTCATGTTCGGTCTGCATGACTTGGCTCAAACATTGTTTCCTAAGGGAGGCTTTCTCTGACTGTCCAGGTCCAGTTAGATCTCCTTGTTAAGGAACTCACTTTAATTTTTCTCTTACAATCCATTCAATGATGTAGTTATTTGAAAATTATTAGCCTATTCATCAGGGCTGAATATTCTATAAATGCAGCGATTGTATTTGTCTTATTTACCACTGTATTCCTAATGGCTAATATAGAACTAAATACACATAACATTTATTGAATGAACCAACTCTCAGTAGAATACTTGCCTCATACATCTTATGCTTTATCGAAGGCTTTATGGTGCAAATGCTATGTTGTGATTTTTTTTTTTAGTTAAGTTTTGATTCAAGTTAACTTGTTAAGGAATGAAGCGTTTGGGGTACTGACCTCCTGAAAGTAAGGTAATTGTGTTGAAGTTATGCAGAACTCTAGATATTAAGAATTTTGGGGGCTAACCCAGATATGTAGGAGAATTTCACATGAGGGAGGAGTCTTCACCTGGAAGTAAGGAACAATCCAAGTCAGTGAACTAAGAGATTTGGTCTTGTCCTGCAGGAAAATTCTCTATCCTAGGGACCGTTTTAACAATGCTGAAACATAACAAAACCTGAGAGCAAGGCTGACTAAACACCTTCCCACTGAAGGCTGCAACAGCCCTGTGGGTGGTCCAGAAGCTTTCTCAGACCAAGTGCATACTGCTTGGTGAGTGTTCTTCCACCTGGAGTTAGGTTTTGTATATCTCTTCTAGAAGGTCACTGGAAAGTGCCACTGAGAAGTAAAAACAACAAAATGTAAAATTGGACAAAAGGGTGCAAGTCCAAAGCCTTCATACTTCTGTAGGAATGGAAAAATAGTGTCTTGCCAGAAAAAGAACCATAGGAATGATACTGGTGACTATACATCTTCATCATAAGATTCACAGTTCCCAGCTATGATGTTCCAAGGTAACTTTTGTTTTTTCAAGGAAAAATAGTGAAATTCTCAAAAAAAATTAAAAAATTATTTTGATTTAAAACGCTATACTTTATAATTTTGTAGAGGAGAATGTCAACACTCTAAAATGATTTACACAAATTATTTTTTAAAAAATCAATTCACCACTCCCAAACACTGAGAATCTCTGAGATAGTTTACATGGAATTCTAGGCAACAGGCATAAGTTTATAAACAACCATACAGATTTTTAAAGTAGAAGTCATTTATTAACTTCTCTCTCATTGAGAAAAAAATCTACAAACAAGTTGAACAATAGTCTCTTTGAATTCCTTATTTGGAAAAGGAGTGTTTTGACTAAACCACAGAAGCTGATAACCATCACTGAAGAAACAGATATTTGTGAACAGGAAAAAAATGTTCACAAAACAGAAGGATCACACAGGCTAATGAGTGACAAGTAAATAAGATGACTAAGAGTAGGGGAGAGGTCTGAATCAATGAGCAGAAGCCATTCAATGGACTGTGCCTTCTGAATTGGTTTTCACTGTTCATCTTGTTGGGTTTGTCTGTTCTTGATGGGGTGGTGAGGGTCATAGAATTGTTTTAATCCGTCTTTTTATTTCTTGAGAAAGTCATGATAAAATGAGATCACTTTCTTCCATACATAGAATTTTTGGTATTATTATATCTGCATTTTATACATGGTCAAATGAGAGTTTAAATGATTTGCCTGAAGTTGCATATCTAATAGTTGGTTGAACTGGGGATTCCACACAGTTCTGTTTGGCTTTGAAGTATTGGCTACACTGCAAATTTGTTAATCCACAGTGGGACATGGTCATATTCAGGAATGGGTGTAATCATGAGGGCATGTAGGCCACTCCTGCTTGGTGTCATGTGAACCAGATTAGATATGAAGTGGTTTCTTGAGTGAAGCTGATGGATAGACAGGAAGAATGACCACACAGGGTCTTGGCAAAGTTTGTTTCACGCAGAGCTATTCTGTGCCTGTATGGACTGGAGTTCCCATGGCTACCACAGTCAGGAACCGTTATTCTTGTCAATTCTGGATAAATTCCTGAAAATTCTTGGTCTTTGGTAATCTCCTTTTTTTTTTCTTTCCAAATCTCTCAGACATAATAGGCTTTCCTTTGTTTTCTTTTAGGTAAAATTATAGCCGAAATCTAGCTTGTACTATCTATAGCACTAGTCTATTGCATTGTTCTTGTTTGGTCTCAAAACCCTCTGCCTCACATCTGTCAGTGCTTTTTGAGCCTTTTGTACAGATGGCAAGTTTATCCTTGATGCATTGGTTTTTACTGGTTTCACTTTTTTTTTAAATCAGTATTTTCTGGTCCTATCAGTACCTTGCCTCATGTCTTTCTTTTGTTAATGCAAATGTTGTAGGAGTACATGGAATAAACCAAAGATGTGATCTCTGTTATGATAAAGTTATGGGAATTCAAGTTGCACCTTTGATGTAGAGTATCACCAAAATCACAAGCATTTGTCAAAAGCTGCAACTCTGTAAATGATCCTGCTAATGCAATATCACATTAACAAGAAAAAAAACCTAGAAAAATTGGCTTATGTCTGTTACTTTAAGAAAAATGCAAAAAAATCTCTTTAATAGGGAAGTAAAAGTATGCCAATTATTGTTGCAAACTATGTCCTCTATATTTTCCTATACACATGTATTTATAACATATTTTCATGAGTACTTGCATGTACCAGCTCTTCCTCTACTGCAGATGCATGCACTGATTTGCATTGTTTCAGCAGGACTGAGGATATCATCATCACAGAATTTGCAGCCTGGAGTACTTCTGAAATATCCCAGAATGCACTCATGTACTATAGTGGTCGACTCTTCTGGATCAATGGCTTTAGGATTATCACAGCTCAGGAAATAGGTCAGAGAACCAGTGTATCTGTTTCAGAGCCAGCTAAATTTAATCAGTTCACAATTATTCAGACATCTCTCAAGCCTCTGCCAGGTACTTTATTTTGTTATTTCTGTGTATACCCTTTATCCCCATACCTTCTGTTAAATGAACGTTTAGGTTGGGAATTTCTCTTAAGAATTATGTTGTAAGAGGAGAAAGGTATGAGTTAATTTCTGTTGGTTTATTTGTAGTCTGTTTAATTTGAATCCAAATTTTTCAGTCTGAAAAAGTCACAAAAAAGATAGTTTTCAGATATATTAAAGAAAAAATTTTGTTTTAGTTCTAATTAATAGTGATTTGTATTGATTTTCCGTGATTCTGTATAGATTGATCATCTTAAATCCTTTCTTCCTTCCTTTCTTTCTCCATCCCAAAGGGAACTTTTCCTCTACCCCGAAGGTTATCCCAGATTCTGTTCAAGAGTCTTCATTTAGGATTGAAGGAAATGCTTCAAATTTTCAAATCTTATGGAAAGCACCTCCTCCTTTGGACTGGGGCATCGTCTTCTACAGTGTGGAATTCAGGGCTCATTCAAAGGTATGGTGTTGGTTCTAGTAAGTTCAATTTTCCAAACAGTCTGTACCATCAGCATCAGCCCCTATGCAAACTGATATGTACTTTGTCAATTAAGCCCATTTCCTATTACTTCCATAACATTTGGTTAGTGGGGTTATTCCTGAGAGCACTGGTTTATAGCCATTCTCTGCTCACTTTGTGTTAACTGTTATGTTGGATACACTTTAACTGGAATATACAGTAAAATATAGGATTTACTAAAATGAACATTTCCAAAATTGCAAGTGTTGACTTCACATGTCAACTGAAGTTTTGAGATTTTAGTTAATTAGGAATGAAAAATTTTCTAATTCTTCCCCTGAGAAAATGTTTTTTGTGTGTTTTATTTTAGTTCCTGGCTAGTGAACAACATCCTTTACCTGTATTTACTGTGGAAGGGCTGGAGCCCTATGCCTTATTTAATCTTTCTGTCACTCCTTATACCTACTGGGGAAAGGGCCTCAAAACATCTCTATTACTTCGAGCACCTGAAACAGGTATAGGGGTAAAAATCTTTCTTTAAAAAAAAAGGCAGAATCTCAGTTCCCATTGTTTGGAATGGGTAGTTAATAATATTTTAAAATAACTTTCAGTTTTGTATATATGTTCAGATTCACTACCCTTCCAATAAATATTTGGAGATTAGAGTAGCCTTATGAAATAAATCTGCATAATTTATTCCAGAAGAAGTAAATTTCAAAGATTTCTCAAAGACTGTTTCACTTTGTTGTAGTGATGCACAAGATGCAAAACCACAAATTGTTTCAGGCAATTTATGAAAATTTTCCTTAGGAAAATGAACATTTAAAAGCAGAGAAAATTTCTTGGAAGGCAGGTGTTCGTAAACATGGTAACTCAGAATGTTTTATGGGTGAATAACTTATGCCTAAATATTATGTTTTTTTGTCTTTTGCAAATGTATCCAAAAGAATACTAGCCATATCTTTGCATGTATATATACCACTTTAAAGTGTATAAAGCAATTCATATGTATCATTCCTTTATTAAAAGTTTATTATATAACCATTATGTGTCAGAAAGATCATTTCATCTGATCCTCACACAGCTCTAAGGTGCATAGGACAGGTGTTATAGATTATTCTATAATCTATATGAAATGGAAGCCTAGTAATTGCCCATGGGAGGGGCTGGGACCTAATTCAGAATTTATATTCCAGTTTCAGCAAGTCTCCATTCAATCACTTTTGCAAATGTTGGCAAATAATAACTTCATATTAATTTAATTTACATATACTTCCTAACCTAGGACCTGGCAGGTGGCAAGAGTTCAATAAACATAGATATCCATTAACCATTGCATTTTTTTTACTGTTGCAATTCGTTCAACAATATTTATCCATGAGTCTCAGAACAGAAACATAGTGCACCTTGGACTCTTCTTTTCTTGGGATATCAAATTTGGTGGCACTGTTCTGTGGAAATGAACTTCATTGCGTCCATCAAGGGATCCCATAGTGGGACAGGCTCAACATCTGCTGGATGTTGGGGGTAATAAAAAAGAAGATAGGGTTTGGTTCTCACCTTCAGGATATTTACAGTGTAGCAACACATTATTCAAATTGACCAACCGTTATTAAGGACTTAGTTGTGTCAGTCCTACATCAGATTGGTGGAGAGTTAACAAGGAATAAGAAAAGATGCTTTCTATGACAGAGCTCATAAGATGGTGTAGAGATAAACACATGCACTGCTAGCATAATAGCAACAGGACAGTGAAAACTGAGTAGAAATGTTGTAAGTGAGTAGATGACATTGTGAAACCTTCATGCATTTCAAGCTGCCTCAGATATTTTTAGAAGAGGTAGAAGGACAAGGACTGATATGACCATGGAAGGTCTTTGGGTATCAGAAACTTTAGCTGGGTTCTGAGAGATGGAGAAAGAAGAGGCCCCCCCATATGAGAAACACAGTATGGCTGGGGTTGATGGTGTTAGTGGTGAAAATTAAGGAGCAATGCCATTGGAATGGGGGCAGGTGTGGAAACTCGTGGAGGAGTCTTGAGAAAGAAGGGGATGTCTATGGTAGAAGGACTTAGAAATCAGGCAGAGGAATTTCTCTTGATTAAAGAACTAAGAGATTGAACTGCTTGGTTTGCTTCTAGCAAACAGGTCATATCCTTGGGATGTTATCAGCTTTCTCCAAAACTTTCTGCCTCCTAGGGAGTTTAGGGTGAGAGGATCCCTAATATGCTGTATTTTATACCCTGAGCTGGCTGAAGCCTGTTTAAAGTTACTGTCTCCCTTTCTGACTTTTCTACCTCCAGCTAAATTGCTCTATGAGGATGAGAGTGAGTGTTGTATTTTGTAAGGAGAACCAGTAATTTTCGATCTATACAGGGCACAGATGAGAAAAAATGGGCTTAAGTGGTAGTAGGAGGGATTTTGAGTTGGACACAGGAAACCTTTCCTGTTAGTAAGACTTGCTGAAACATCAGGATATATTCCTGAAGAAATCTATGGAATTTTCTCTCCTGAAGATCTTTAAGAATGAGAGACATGTACCTCAACTGCCTGAGAAGAGAAATACTTACTGCTAAGATATACATACTCTGATTACGAGTGGTTAAAGGCTTATATTCTTTTCTGCCCTATCTATGCCTCTGTTTTTCAGTTCCATCAGCACCAGAGAACCCCAGAATATTTACATTACCAAGTGGAAAACACCTCAATAAGAATGAAGTTGTGATAGAATTTAGGTGGAATAAACCTAAGCATGAAAATGGTGTGTTAACAAGATTTGAAATTTTTTATCATATATCCAACCAAAGTGACTTGAACGATACATTTAAACAATGGATTGCCGTCAACTTAATTCCTTCAGTGATGTCCTTTCGACTGGAGGGCATGAGTCCTGGGTATATTGTTGCCTTCCAGGTACGAGAGAGAAAACTAAAATATGGGAGTCTTACCTAGTGCCAAAGAGGGTTAATTAAAGGTCTAAGTTGAGAATTCCTACTCTGTAATAACTTGAAGTGCACTGTGATCAGAGGGGTCAAGTGGGCAGCAAAAATGTACAGGAAGGAGAAAACAGCTTGGGTAAAGAACATCTCAGCAACTTTCTGGCATTAAGGGTACTTTTCAGATTCAGAATAAAGCAATATTTGTCAATGTCTTCATCATAGGTCAGGCACCATGATTGTATTCTTATATTCTTAATCTCATTTGATCTCATTCTTGAAGAAAAACCCTGTGAGTGTCAATTATCAAAGTTGTATGACTAGGAGGTGATATACCATAATTCAACTCCTAGACTCCTTTATAACCACATCAAAACACCCCTGTGAACCGTCTAGGTGCCCTGACTTGGTAAATGTCAATAAAAATAAAAGCCGAGGTTCTGCATAGTTATATCTCACAGTTACCACTTGTCTATTGACAGAGCAGAAGGAGAACATCAGTTAAGAAAAAAAATCTATTGTCATTGCATTTTGCTAATTTAAATATTTAATATGAAATAACTTTTCACTTACAGTAGGAGTCTTGATGATTTTCATATCTTCATCAATTACTATGCTTGTGACAATTATACATATTTAGAGTTAATTTCCATTTCTTTTTTTGGAGAAATGATATTTTCAAGATTTGAGTTTCCTATGGATCTTTTTTCTTTTGGTAAAATTCTAATTTAATAATTATTTTGATAATTAAGCTTACATATACTAATCAAAAAGATTAGAGATAATATATATTATTTAATTTATTCCAGTTAAATAAATATTCTGGCTAAGTATGTATGTCTATATGTAGACAGTTTCAAATTTCAGTCACCATAAAATGTGCAAAGTGATATGTATGAATGGATATGAATGAATTTTATATAACACTGTTCTGTATAAAAAGACTGCTATATACAAATGTACCATTATAAATCATACAGATGTTAATATGCAGAGCATAATAAAGTGTATTTAATGCTAGACTATAATAAAGGCAATCCAAAGTTCTGTTGATTGAGATAGCACATATACAAGTTTTGAAAATGGTAATGCTTTGTTACTCAATAAAAATTTGACTGTTAGGATGTGGAGTGAAACAACGGAAAGAAAATTATGCAAACTTTGGATGATTTGGTTGTTGTGCCTCTTTCTACATTTGTCATTATTAGATGAATTACTTTAATTATAATCCAGGTCCAGTTTTTACTCCTAGTAGTTGTGAGGATCAAAAGAGATAATAGCTGGGCATGGTGGTGCATGCCTATTATCCCAGCGGCTGGGGAGGCTGAGGCAGGAGGATCACAAGTTCAAAGCCAGTATCAGCAACTTAGTGGGGCCCTAAGCAACTCAGTGAGACCCTGTCTCTAAATAAAAAATATAAAAAAGGGGTGAAGATGTTCTCCTGGGTTCAATTCCTGGTATTTCCCATCCCCCTCAAAAGAGATAATATATGTGAAAATGGTTTGAAATGCATTATTTTTTAATATAAGTTTAATTGTTTTCTTTTATAAATGTCCTTTTAAAAATATAGTAAATTTAGTTATATGATACTTTTAGCTATTGAATTTAAGATAAGTAGAAATTTATCATAATTTGTATAGTTTTATTTCTGTTGTGTTCTATGTAATCTAATCTTGGAATTAGCTGAAGATCTCTTAGTTATCTTATAAAGTCCAAATGACAAGTAAAGATGGTACATATTCAAGGTGTATAATGTGATGATTTGATATGTGTCTATGTTGGGTAATGACCATCAGAATCATATTGATCTACACATCTATCACCACTCATGCTATACATTAAATTCACAGATGTTTTCAGAAATTAGTTTTTATTTTTCTTTCTTTGCAATAGAAATTATGCTATTTTTTTAACTTTTCTATACCCCCAAACAAAACAAGACAAAAAACTAAGAAATAAAAAACCCAGCAACGTAAGTATGGGACAATATATTTATTTATTGCCATATACTTAGGCTTAAGCAGCTATTTGAAATTATCGTGTATCAGGAGTGAAAATAAGACATTCAATAATTTGTCAGTCTCAGAAGTTATTTATTCCCACAGACAATACTATTGAATGTATCCATTTGTTTCCTTTTCTTTCCTTTAGGTTCGAGTTTTTACATCTAAAGGACCTGGACCATTTTCTGACATAGTAAAGTCTTATACATCAGGTATTTGTTATCTAAATCTGTGTAACAATTTAAAAGCACCCTTACCCCCATGGATGTCTTTAGAGATATGAACAGCAACTCTGAAGTTGAGGTGAAATAAAATAATCAATTTTTCTCATCACCAAAATATTTTTGAAGAATCTAGGGTTAGAAGGCTTAAAAGTCTTCATTGAAACTATTAGATGAACCCAAAAGAGGCCAGTGGATTTAAAAACTGCCCCATACTTGCTCAAGAGACTTTGCTAATCTGATTTTCTCATACATGATATCTATTTGTTTTTCATTTTCAGAAATCAACCCATTTCCTTACCTCATAACTCTTCTTGGCAACAAGATAGTGCTTTTAGATATGGATCAAAATCAAGTTGTGTGGACATTTTCAGCAGAAGGAAACATCAGTGCCGTAGGCTACACAGCCGATAATGAGATGGGTTATTATGTTCAAGGAGACTCACTCTTCCTCCTGAATTTGCAGAATCGTTCCAGCTCTGAAGTACATTGCTCTGTAATTCTTTTGAAATGAAGGAAGTGGACTATTTACATATCATATTACCTTATAATTAAAATAAATGGCCAGTGGTTGAGCTACTAGGATTAGAGTGACTGAAAAGGACAGATACTGTGTAATTATTTAGCTACAAAGACTATAGATTTGGGCAAATGTCATTCAGGATTAATTTTTGGTTACTGTGTTTGGGGTGTTGTTTTAGAATCTGAGGATAGAGAAGTGTGTTCGCTTTCTGTTATGGGAACAAATACTTGAGATAATCAACTTATAAAGTCAAAAGACCTATTTTAGCTCACGTTTTGGAGATTTCAGTCCATGGTCATTTGCCCTCTCCACAAGATCCCCCTCCAAACCCCCGCTTTTGGACCTGTGGTGAGGCAGCACGTCATGTTGGAGTGTATGTGGTAGATCAAAGTCAGCTCACCTCCTGGCCAAAAGAGAGAATGAGGAAGAGACTAGGGTCCCACAATCCCTTTTGAGAGCATGCTCTCCCAGTGACCTAAAGACCTGCGACTAGTCCCCCTTTCTTTCATAAAGATTCCATTAGTTCCCAATGGCACTGTGAATTGGGACCAAGACTTTAATGCATGGGTTTTTGGGTGACATTCCAGATCCAAACTATGGGGAGGGATTAAAAAAATTACAGGCTTTGCTCCTAACAAAACTGGTCTAGTATTAGTCTGACATCAGGAAGCCATTGCTTCACAGTAATTAAGAGGGCAAGTTTTGGGATCTGACTAGCTGGAATTTATTTCTGGCTCCATTCTGTGACTAACAACAAGTTATTTAACTTCTGTGATTAAATAGTGCTTCATCATAGGGTTCCCATGAAGATTAAATGAGAGAATCTATTAAAACACAGCACAATGCCTGGAATGTGGTAGGCATTCACTAAATAATTAGCTAATATAGAAATCAGACTAGTGTAATTGGTAGGTTGTGATCAGAATATAGAAGAATCACAGAAACGAGCGTCAATCCAGGCTGAGGTGGTGGTGGTGTGGGTAGAATGGAAAAACATGTTGGGCACAAGGAAGATGAGCCAAGGGAAGGTAGAGAAAAGCAGAGAGAGAAGCAAGTGCCAAGGCATTCCAAAGAGTATGCTCAGGAGCTACATTTGTAGGTAGGGGGAACATGCAGAAGGAACATGCAGGTAGGGGGTGAAAGTGGAGGGAAAGTAAACAGGCGGCAAAGCTGGAGAGGTAGGCAGGATCCCAAGCATTATGAACCTCCTTTAACATGCTAAAGAGTCTGGTATCAAGCTGGCAGCCAGCAACAAGCCATCAAAGAAATTTCATGGGTCATTAACTTGGACAAGTTATATTTTAGAAAGACCTCTTTGTCAGCAGTGTATGCCATGACTTGGAGAGGTGAAACTGAGACAATTAGGAACAAATCTCAGAAATCCAGGCAGGAAATATTGGGCTTGAGTTAGCCAGGCAGTGAAGTGAGAAAGGTGGAGACACATTGGGAGATATTTAAAGTAAGATTAGTTCACTGTGTATAGATTTGTGAGGAAAAAAAAAGTGAAGGGGAACCACGTTTGTCCTATTTGTTTCCTCGGGTGAATATTGGAAATCCATAAACATATAAAGTGCAAGAGAAAAGGAGATTTTGGGGTATGGCAATAAATTCTGTTTTATGGGGTCATCCATGTAGAGGTGTTCAGTAGGTAGTTTGATATTTGAATTGGTAAGGGATCTTGGCTGAAAATGCGAATTTTTAGCTCTGGTCTATGGATAGTAGTTGAAGTCAAGATCATTGAAATTACCTAGGAAAAATACACAAAATAAGAGGATGGCTCATGTTACAATACTACACAATCCAGAATTATTGAGGCTTTGGATTACAAAGGAGGAGTGCAGTAAATAAGTGATATGGATAATTACAGAAAAGTCTTCACATTAAAAAAAATTAATAATATCTTTTTGGCTGTGTTCTTTACCTAACTTTAAGCTTTTCCGAGATGCACTGGTTTCTGATATCACAATTATCACAATTGACTGGATTTCAAGACATCTCTACTTTGTGAAAGAATCACAAGATGGAATCCAAATATTTGATGTGGATCTTGAACACAAGGTGAAGTATCCCAGGGAGCTGAAGATGTGCAAAAGGAATTCAACAATAATTTCTTTTTCTGTATCTCCTCTTTTAAGGTATGTTATCTTTTTCTGTTGTGATGAAACCAATGTCAACATATTTAATGTAATGTTTTTTGGCTTAATATTAGAAAACGAGATGTTTAGCATTCTTGGTTCATTACATTAACTTAGAGTCCATAATTTTACATATGAGCTCATAACCACAAATACGTAATTTTAATCCATACAGAAAATTTGACTAACCTAAAGTTAGGCTAATTACCAGGAGGAAACCAGTAGTAGAGTTTTGTACTAATGGATCTAATAATATCATAAGTTGGTAAGGACACAAAGAGGACTGAGACAGTGACAGATGATCAGGAACAGGTGTACAACAGGTGTCGCATAGCAAAAGCTACCCTGGGCTCAGCCATCTTGGCTTAATTAATGTCTTCATCAAATGAATTTTAAGGTCTCTATTCAGCGACTGAATAGCAATTTTCCAGGTTGGAAAGGCATATTTTTATTTGTGCCCTTAAAAGTTTAGGCTATTCTCAAATTAGATTGTTCACTAGGATACTAGTATTAAGAATAGGAACAAATGAAGAAAATAATGGAGATGGGTATAATGAAAAATTAGAAAATTTACAGCCATTAATGGCATGTAAGTCACTTGGACTATAAGCACCTAAGTTAATTATGCACCAAGGCTTTAGTTGTAAATATACTTGTTGAAAAATCATTGGAAAATGGTATGAGTTGGACTTCTTGTGTCTTCCCCAGCTCATAACATTATTAGACTCTTGGACATGCTCTCTCCTAAGGCTGCATTTGTCCTCCAATTATACAAATGATTGATCTTCATTAGAAACTACTATTTGAAATTATATACTTTGCTCATTAACTTGGAGGGACTTTTTTTTCCCCCCCTGTAGTCGCTTGTATTGGACAGAAGTTTCCGATTTGGGCTCTCAGATGTTCTACTACAGTATTATCAATCACACCTTGCACCGCATTCTGCAACCCACAGCCACAAACAAACAAAATGGAAGAAGTCAATGTTCCTGTAATGTGACTGAATTTGAGTTAAGTGGAGTGATGACTATTGATACCTCTGAACTAGAGAAGCCACAAATATACTTTGCTAAAGGGCAAGAGATCTGGGCCATGGATCTGGAAGGATGTCAGTGTTGGAGAATTGTCATGGTGCCTGCCATGCTTGGTAATATACTGACGTGTGCACATAGATCTTCACCAGTAGCAGGAACTCTTCCTGTCCCATTAAGAAGAGCTTGCATTCCACATATACTTAAAGGAATATGCTTATGGTATTTGCTCTGGATTATGCCAACTGTTGTAGAATTCAAATCAAGTTGTATACAGGGAAATTGTATGTAGGCATTCACATAATTTTCTAAATCAGTGTTTTAAAAAGATCTGTAATTAACAATAGACTTAAAATTTAACAAACTTAACTATATATTCTAAACATGCTACTAAATGCATGCCCCATTTAATCTTCTAATTCTTAGGTGAGGTAGGAACTGGTATCTTCATTTTACAGATGAGAAAACTTAGGCTGAGAAAGGAAGTTCCAGGGTCACAGTTAATAGAGAAGTCAAAACAGGGCCAACTACAATAGCCATGGTCTTACCAGCACCCTACTCTATTTCCTCTTTGACTCCACTTTCAGTTGAGTCGGTCAATATGCGGCATCTATCTGTTGAAATTCAGACTTACAGAGGAAATGTTTGAAAGTCTAAAATGATTTGGGAAGTCTCCTAATTAGGAGTAACTCCATCAGAAAAAATAGACTCTAGCCCATATGCTGTTAACAGTCTTCTCTTCATTGTCCAATATAGAAATCACAGGTGACATGTGATGATTTAAATTTAAATGAATTAAAATTTAAGATATTAAGCATTTACTCCCTTAGTTCTACTACCCACATTTCAAGTGCTTCAAAAGCCAGAAATGGTTAGTGGCCACTGTACTGGACAATGTGGGCATAAAACCTTTCCATTGTCACTGAAAAGTTCTCTCGGGTAATGCTGGAATATAAAGTTAAAAGTTTTGACATTAAAAACGTGTGTGTGTGGTGGGGATTGTTATTGTACATTTGGTTTTATAGACATGTCTCCCAGAGTCTTTTAGAAACAATTCTATATACTCTCAGTAGGATTAAAAGTAGAGATGATGTTTTGAATTTCTCTTCTTGTTTCTGCTTTTTGTGACAGACTCTTTCTTTGATCAAAGGAATTATACTACTTTGAGCACTTTTTTTCCCACACCTCTACCTTGGCCTTACATGTCCGTAGTTTAGCAAGTCTACTTTTAGCAAAAATAATACCAAATTAGTTTAGAGAAAACCCTCCCCTGGATATCTGATCAAGTTCTTCATCCCTACTCTTGATACATAGGCTCTGGCTGATCTTTAGCAAGAATCCTGTTAAACTAGTGTATCAAGAATCTTCTTACCCTTGATGTCTCCTCAGTAATTTTCCTCCCACTAACTCCCTAGTTCTAGTTGGCTATAAATCCCTACCTATCTTTGTTGTATTGCAACATCTGTCTTCCCTATTACAATATTGTGCTAGTCTTAAAAATGTATTTCTTATTTTAACAAGTGTCAGAAAAATCTTTTCTCTAAAATCAGATACACAAGGATTATCCAGTAAGCCCTTATATAAAGAACAGTCTTTCATAAATTCATGATTAGAATTCATAATCCTAAAATCAGAAAATTAGATGCCTTTAAAGATTATTTAGCTGTCATGTTGAAAGAAAGCCCCTCTATAAAAATAACCTTTATTGAACACAGGTTTATAAAAAAATTACTACTTTATAAGAAAATCGATTTTGGAACAATTCTGAAATTAGATTTTTTTCCTGATATTTAGCCAAAACCTTTTCTCCATTTCTTCACTGATTTTAATCTATAAATTTATAAAAAATAAATTAGTCACTTTTTACTTGATTGCCATTTAACTATGTAGAGATGGTGTCATAGTCCATTCTAAACATTTTCTTTAGAAGAAAAATGTATATCTATATGTATATCTATAACTACTCTTCAGTGACGTAGCTTCTAGGACTTTCTTTGCCTTAGTTATCTTCCTGTTGTTTAACTCCAGTTAATTAAATGTCACCCCGTAATAATATGTTGTCCTTTTAACATGTCCCGATCAGTGCAGGGGGACTCTGACTTCCTATGTCTTCTTATTGAAGATAAAAGTAGCATCAAATCTTTGAGTTTTCTAATGTTTAAAAAACTGATAGTTTTTTTTCACATAAACTGTTAGTAAACCAGGTCTCTTTTATTTGTTAATTTATAGGGTTTATTTTAAACTTGAATTTAGGATTTTATGTTTGTTTCTACTACATTTCAATTCATTTCCTGATTCTGTTGTGATACTTTAGAATTTCAAGGTAGTAACTGAACCTACTGGTGACAGTGATAATTGTGTATTATCTGAAAATATCTTTAATATGTTTATCATGCATTCATTCCAAACTATGGATAAAAAACATTGAGTAAAGCACTGAGCCTTGGGCCTATTACTGTTACAGATTGCTATTGTTCGACTTGGAGTAGCATAAATGGTTTTAAATCCTGGCTCTGACCTTAATTAACTATGGCTCTGAGTATATTATTTAAGTCCTACAAATCTCAGTATACATTTTCACAAAATGAAGCTGATAATAATAGCATTTACCTAATTTATTGACTTTATGTGAAGCTAAAATGAGAGAATACGTCATTTAGCCAAGTAGTATAAAAGTATTTTTTTTAATATTGAGAAATAGAAAGACTCAAAACTTAGCACTTACAGGAAAAGTTTAGAGTAGAAAACTAAAGAAATGTATGATTTGTTCTTTATGTTTTTATTCAGCAGAAAAGACACTGGCTAGCCTAACTGTGGGTGGGAAATTTATATATTGGATCATCACAACAAAAGAAAACACCCAGATTTATCAAGCAAAGAAAAGAACTGGGGCCATCCTCTCCCAGGTGGAGGCCCGATGGAGTAAATGTATCTTGGCTTACAGTTCAGTTATGCAGCCTTTTCCAGGTAAGAAAGTCACAATCAGCTTGTCTCCTCCTCTAGGGCTGTCCTTCTAGTCACTTTGTTATACTCTCAACTGTGTTCCAAACCAATAAATCTTTAGGTTTGCCCTGGTCACAAATTACCTCTGTGTGTTTTCACAGCTTGGGTTGCAGAGTCAACTTTAGATGTGGGAAACCTCTGACCTGAATTGTCTCTATTTTTTTCTCTTTTCAATCACCAAATTTCTCTTATTTCTGTCTTTTTTCTACTTTACTGATATTTTCGGCTTCTCAGTGGTGTGTAAAAGCATTTCATAAAGTCCCAGTTATTTTTCAAGGTAAAGTGCTATATTTGTTGCAGTATGATGTAGTATGCATTATATATTGAAGTGTTATGTGCTAATATGTTGGGGTAATATATAGTGCCATTTAATATGTGTAAATTGGTGTTGCCATTTTTACTTAAGTCTCTCTCTCTCTCTCTCTCTCCCCCCCTCCCCTTTTTCTTTCTCTCCTTTTCTGTTCTGCTAGGAATTAAATCCAGGGCCTCATGCATGCTAGGCAAGTGCTCTACCACTGAGCTGTAGCCCCAACTTTTTATCTTTTTTTTTAAAGGTGTCACTGATGAAATTTTTAGTGTTGTTCCTCTAGTCCTACTTTTCCCATGACCTCTTTGAATTTATGGAATTATTTATAGGAATGTATGTATCATATTAAAGCAGAACTAAATATTTTATATTGGGAGTAAAAGTAAACTTTTAAAAAGCTGAAAACCAACAAACAGAAACAAAAACTGCATTGCATCATCTCCAGTGACATTCAAATCTCAAGCAGTTTGAGTTTTTTTTTTTTTTTAATCAAATTCTCCTTGCCATTAAGGTTCAGGTGTCTTCCTCAATTAAGCATAAATCTCTCTTAGAGAGTAACAAAAATGAATGAAATAACCTTCCTGTGCTTAAATATATTGTTTTAAAATATGTAAGTTGAAAAAATGTAAGAATTAATAAATAGGTTTACTTCATATTTTGGTGAAATAATTCACTTTTTACTATAAGAATACTAAGAGATTTAAAATGTTTATGGGACTTATGGTTTCTGACCCAGCATTTTAGAAGCTTGAAAGGTACCATTCTTCCTTAATTGTGAGTAAAAGACTCCCACCTTAGAATTCCATTGATCTCATCTGTCTGGATAAAACTACAATCAATAGTACTTCCTATTCCATTCTACCTTATACTGGTGAAAAGGGAAGCTGAAAGCCATTTCAACCAGTTTCAGTAAGTAAAAAGCAAATGGAAGACTCAACTCTTTTTAGATCTATAAGAAAAATGAGGTCGCAGCCCCACAAACTGGAAAGAAAGATGGTAAAAGTAGAGAATTGCAATTTACTGGAGGAAAAATCCTTAAGAAAAAAACCTTGTGGGAACTGGTGCCAAGGGTAAGGACTTCTGAACTAGAACTGATGAATTGCTAGATACTTCATGGATTACTCTGAGAGTTAAAAAAACTCTAGGGGCATGTAGTTGGGGAAGCTCCCACACTTATTCTGAGTTTTCTCTCTAGGAACTTGACCTGGTTCTCACAGTGAAGATCTTAGCACATCTCCTTGTGTTGCCAGCAGGAGGAAGGGAAAAGGAATTGTTTCAGAATACACTAGAGCATTCTATTCTTCTTAACAAGCTTGGCTCTTAAGAGAAACTATTTAGCCACAGTCTAACATTCTGGGTTTTTATCAGAATATAATTTACCTTGGAAAATGGAAGTACTCAATTCAGCCCACTTTAGCCATGCAATTTCATTTAAGAGTATGGACTAAGAAGAACTTGTAAAGCCCACAGTCCAGAGGCACCAAAGTCTGAAACCTAATCTAGGACAATGAAAAGCCTTCTCTACTTCCTCAAAATCACATTACTAAAAGTCTACTTATAGCAATTTATTTTACACAGTACATCAAGTCTTACTATCAAGAAAAAAAAATTAAAAGGCATAAAATACAGATTGAAGATACAGTGAGAGTCAGAATGATACTCAGATGGCAGGGATGTTGGAATTATCAGACTGTGAATTTTAAAAGCTATAATTAAAATGCTAACAGTTTTAATGAACAAAATAGTCAGTTACAAGAGCAGATGATCATTGTAAACAAAAAGATGGAAATTCTAAGAAAAAAAGAAAAGAAATGCCAGGAGATAAAAAAATAAAAATACTGTAACAGAGTGAAGAATGCCTTTGAAGGGCTTATTAATAGACTGGACAGGGTGCTGAGGAAAGAAACTCTGAGCTTGAAGCGTTCTCAATAGAAACCCCCAAAACAGAGCCGTTCAAGAGGGCAGATTAGAGGAAGACTGCATTTCCAGTTGCTCTGTGGTTTGAATTCAAGCAGTGGGAATATTGTTTCTCATCAAGGTGGGTGAAAGAGGGAATTCACTGAAATTCAATATCAGACAAGATTTAGAGACTCACAAATTCAGATGCATTACATGAAGAACAAGAAAGCCTACATCGGAGAGAACCAATTGTGGCAGCAGAGGCAATGCTGGTTCACCGCAGAGGGGAGGAGCAATATAAACAGAGAGAAACACAATAGATAAATCGAGCACAGAAAAACACGTAGATCAGAAAATCAGCCTGCACTTAGCTGATCCAGAGGCCGCATGGTTAAGTGTTTGTGAAGTTCTCTGTGTTTCTTAACTGGAAAGTGGAGAGCTGAGGCAGGAGCATCTTGAGGAGGCTACACTGCAGCTTGCTGCTGCAGAAACCTGGGAGATCCTAGCAAACATACTGTCCTGAGAAGCTCCTATGATGGGGCCTAGGGTCTGCTTAGCAGAACATGATTAAAACAGGGACAGAGATTGTACTTGGGGTGGGGGTGAGAATTCAAGACAGAAAAATAGAGGGGAATACAACCTGCTTTCCTTTGAGTCTGGTGGCTATTATGACCAGCTGAAGAGGATCTAGAAACTGAACAGGCCAGTGTGAACACACTCCTGGTGTAAGCCTGAGAAAGTTGTGTTCATGGGCGCAGGGTGTGTAAGACCTGTGGAGAGTTGTCTCCCCTGCCCTGTGAGTAGAATTCTTGGATGTTCCTGAGATTTAGACTCTGAGCAGGGATCTTCATCTCCTTTTCCTTAGGGATGTGTTGATATAGTCTCTCCAGAACAGGTATCACTCAACAAAGTCCCTAAGGCCTGAGTTGAGGTAAGCCTCAGCCACCAGAATTCCTATCTTAGAACTCCCCAGCAATCCCACCCGGGGAGTCCATTTAGGTTCTTGACAAAACTCCAATCAATAGTACTTCCCATTCCACTCTTACTCTGGTGAGAAGGGGGAGTTGAAAGCTATTTCAACCAATTTCAGTTTTAGGCTCCTTCAACCGGCAACACAAAGAGGAAGAAATCAACAGTCTCTACCCCTTGTGCTTCCCCTTCCTTAGTGCATAACCCAAGAAGAAATGGAAAGAAGGACAATTGGGTACAAGCAGTGACCATCCATCCTTGTTAACAATTATGACCACCTCAGTGAAGACATTTCTTTCATTTTTCTTTAAGAATATTTTTTCTTTTCTTTTTCCTACTGTTGCTCGTGTGTGTGTGTGTGTGTGTGTGTGTGTGTGTGTGTTGCTGTGCTGCTTGGTTTGTGGATATATATATATACACATAAAAATACGTATATGGAGATATATATATATATATATATATATCTCCATATACGTATTTTTAAATTTTTTCCTCATTTTTAGCATTTTTAAAATATTATTTTTCCTTGTCTTTTGAGGATTATGGCTTTTTGTTTTCTTACTTATTTTTGTTTTGCTTTGTTTTTGTTTGTCTCTCTTTCTCTCTGTTCTTCTCTTGCTGACAGTAAAATTCTCCTATTTTTGCTTCCTCTTTCTTTTTACTTTGTTCTATTTTTCCTCTTCCTTCTAATTTATGTCCACCACTTGCTACATCACTTCTGTATTCTCTCTGTTTACATTTGAACATTCTGAACTTTCTTTTACCTTCCCATAACATTTTCTTTTCTTTTAATGAACAGTATTTTTACCATCTTTTAGAACTATTTGATTTATATAACTCCTGCCCCCACCATTCATGTGGATGCATTTATTAGTACTATGCATCACATAGTTGACACTTGTTGTTTACTTTAAGGCGAGATTATTTCATAGCTATTTATCATTTTTGCTATTGGCAATTGCTGACCTTACCATTTCTGTTTCTGTGGTAATTAATGTTATAGATGTAGGCACAGGACATTTTTACTTGTTTGCTTTGGTTGTTGCTATTGTTTGTTTTCCCCTGTATCTTGAAGTTCTGGGAATCTACAGAGACACTACAAGTTCACAGAGTAGAAACTCTACTGCTGAAATAAACTCAGCCAAGTGACAATGCACCTTACCCCACAAACAAATTAACCACACTCAGACTTCACTGATAATTTAATACAAAGAATAAACAAGACAAAAAACCCAGACTAACAATCAGGCCCCAAGTAGGTTCTACTTGTGGCCATTCAATCCTATAGCAAAAACAGAATTAACAAAAAGATTTGGATGACACATGTATGAGGGGTTTTAATCTAGATCATTTTAGAATACTTTGGCAAAAGAAGATTATGTCCTAAAAAAGCACACACACAAGAGTGAAAGAGAACGCCATCTCAACAGATACCTAAAACCCAATACAGGAATACAAGAAAGATGAAAAAACAAGGTAGCATGACACCTCCCAAAGTTCATAATTCACCAACAATTGACTCCAAAGATATTGAAGTGGATGAAATATCAGATAATTAATTCAGATGAATTATTATAAAAATGATCAGTGATTTCCAAGAGCACACAGAGAACAACTGAATGAATTAAGGAGTCAGTTCAGGATATAAAAGATAAATTCAATAAGGAGATAGAGATATTTAAAAAGAACCAAACAGAGAGACTTTGGAGATGAAAGGCATAATAAATCAAATTAAGTGTTCAGTTGAAAGTCTCTCTAGTAGACTAGACCATGCTGAAGACACAAGTTC